AGACTAGACCTCACTAAAAATGAGGTCAACAGATCTCAGTTATTTTTAGCATTGTCACGGAAACTACTGCTGAAAATTGATTTGAAGAATGTTTTTTCAATTGAGAATGCCTATAATTTGTGGTATTTAAATCTGCATATAAGTTTTGTTTATCTAATGAGAACATGAACTGTGGTTTGGATCATTTATTTCCTGCTTGTTTTCTGTTCTCAGTGCGAAGAACATCCTTTTGTGTTTTCAGTTGTTGATTCTTTTAACAGTTTTGGTACGAGGCCCGGGTGTAATTCCTTCTAACTAATTTTTTGATATTTAGATGTTTCAACTAACTTTTTATATGGCTAATAGGATCATTTTATTGTGTCTATAAATATGTATAGTTTAGGTCTTAGAAATGATCATGCCTCCCCTGATGAAACAATCTGTATATGATATTCTTCACCTCTGCCCTTCTCCTCTTTTCCATGGAGAAGAGGTGGACTTCCTATTATGATGATGTATTTTTTCTCCTTTCATTTTTATTCTTATGTTAATAAAGGAGAAGGTAGACCTAAAAAGACTTGGGCATATTGTATAAAAGATAATCTTAATTTATTAGAATTAATTGAAAATATGTCACTCAATAGGACAAAATTGAAAAAAAGGATTCATGTAGGTGACCTCAGTTAGTGGGACAAAGGCTTGTTGTTGTTGTTGTCATAGTGGAATCATCCCCCTCACTTCACAGCAGATGCATGCAAAAATTCAAACAAAAATTCAAACCATATAAAATATAGTAATTCATAGCACTAATTCTCCTCTTCGCTTTCTTTTCTATCTTTAGTTCCTCTCTATCCATGCACTATATTGATTTGAAGCCTCCACTCCAGAGGATTACTTTTTCAACATCTACACCAGGTTATGTCCTTTACATGGATTTTCAGCAAGTATAAGCATAAGATTGCTGCAAAATGGGAGTTCTTTGAGCATCTTTTAGCATATTATTGCCAAAGTTTAAAGGAGAAGGTTATGAGTTTTGGAATATTAATATGAATACCTTATCTATGTCTGTCGGCCATTTTTTTTTATCTTACATCTTTAAAATCTTTTATTTAGTTTAACTTTATAACTTCAAATAACTTTATGATTTGAAAAAAGTAATAATTTTGTGATTTTAAAAATAATTAAAATATGACTATGACCCTTTTTATTTTAAAAAAAAGTAATATTTTAATTTTAAAATAGGTGAAACCAAACGAGTCTCACATTTTAAATAGTTTAGACGAGTGAATACGATATTACAAGTAAAACACTTATCCCGAAGGATAAATATCACTTGTAATAGGGGTTCAATCACCTAGACTAAAAAATTTGTGACATCCGTTCGGTCTGCGAAATTGTCTTATTTACCGACAAGTTCCCTTACCTAATACGAGGATTAGATAAGGTTTATTTTATCTGGGTTCCTGGTTCCCTATAGAGGCAAACCCCTATAGTTAATTATATCTTAAATAACTGGGAGTCATTTAAAAAAACTCTCGATTAAGATCATGTGGTTTTGTTTTAAAGATTTCAAAGTTTAGGTTTTCACGATTGGACATGGGAAAATCAAATGGGAATGATTCAAAATATGAACAATTATTTAAGGAATCCAAATAGAAGAAAAGTAGGGGATATCACAGATCTGGGAAAAACCCCGGTGAACTCCCAACTATCGTAATATTCGGCTTTATGTCTTCGAAGTGATACTTATTTGATATTTCAATCCTGCAAATTATTTAAAATTTAGGACTTATGTTTGCACAACGTCAGACTGTGCAAATAGCCTAAAAGACAGAAGGATTTACATCGTACCGAACGGTAACCTCGGAATCCTAAAACGTTAGGACTTATGTGCAAAAAGCAGAGTTGTACAGAAAGCCTAAAGAGTGATCCTATAGGTTATTTAAACGAAGGAAAGTGTATAGTGTTGTGAAAATGTTTGTGATGTGAAGATGTTTTGTTGCTGCAGATTCACCTGGAAATTGTTCCTCGCTGCGCTGCCCACGATGTTTGCTTCAAACTCCTCGTAGTAGCACCTCCTGGTTTAGTTTTAGTTTTGAACATGCTCCTAACCACTAGGTTATCCTAAACTAAGGCATAGCGTATCAAAGTAACTAAGTATGCAGTGTGAAAGAAAAGTAACAATGTACTGTATAGTAAAGAGAAAAGACAATATAACATGATGAAAGAAGAACATAACATGCTAGGGAAGCAGTATAACAGGCTATGGAAACAATGTAACATGCTTTTAAAATAAAATACTGTAACATAAATTAAACCTGTACACTTGAGAGGTTCATTGCTCCTTTAAATTTAGCTATTATATGCTGTATAAAGAGGGAAGTAAGACCTGAAAAAGACTTAATAGAAACAGGTAAATCGCAGGGAAAAGATAAACAAATAAGATGAAATACCATACCACATATAAAGAACAAAGAATAAGAAATTTATATGTGATATTGGAATGTCCCCAATGTCCTATGTGATATTGGAATGTCCCCAATTGCCAGGAGGATTTGAATGTATGACAGACTTAAATCCCGGAGCATTGGGTTTCAGTTTTGGTCAAGTTAAGGTAAGAATTTCATTATTTGATTTAATTAAATCAGTCATGAGTCACAATCTAATGCCACCTCGTGCCTAGTATCCCACCTATCTTCTAATCTGAGGTTAGATGTTTGGATTTCTTAGGGTCATTTGAAAATTAGGATGATAAACTATCTCTATCTCTCAAGGTTGTGCTTCTGCTAAAATCTAGAATGCCTGCACTTTAGGTTAAACTTGAGGTGTCCTAAGGTGTCTAATCTCAATTAAGTGACTTTCCACTAACCCTCAAACATCTATAAATTTAGCTTAGTTTACTACCAGACTCCTAAAACCTAGGGGTAAACTCATAGTTTTGGCAAAAGAGTTGTGAGTTGTGTTTCAATCCTAGTTAAAGGAATTGGATTTTAAATTGATTCAAAGCTTAAGGGATCTAAGAGTAAGTTCACTAATCTCTCAATCGTTATATAAATTCTCATTTTTTCCGATTTCAACTAGTCTTCCAATTTGCAATTTATTTTTCTTTACGTAAAATAAAAGGTGGATTATTCGCTACCCTGCCTCCTCTTTAGATTGTATCATCCCAAAAATTCAAATTTCAATTTCAATTTTCTCTTTTATTCTCTTTCTCTCCTATTTCCCTTGAGATTATAAATCATTTCTGAATTTAATTAGATCAGAAATTCTCATTTTTAACTTGACCGTTGGAAAAATAAAATAAAATAAAATAAAATGAACGAAAATGAGACCGATCCATTTTTTAAAACCAAATTAAATCAATAAAACTCATGAATGTATCGGTCTAAAACATTTAAATTTGTTAAAAGGAAAATAATCGGATCAATCCCGAGAAGGATATCCTTTCCAAGTGGCGCTTTTATGGATTTCCAAACCCATCATGACTTCAATTTATATCAAACTCAAAATAAAGTTTCAAGAGCTTTCTACATTTCATAAAACATATGATCACAATTCATAGGGAACATCCTTTTGTACCTCTAAAAATCATACTATTATCAAAGCCTTTCAACTTCAATTTTAATGGCGGGGGTGAGGCAATAACCAAAAAAAAAAAAAAATCAAATCCAGCTAAATGTATATGAAGCTCATGCTAAGGCATCAACCCAAAACCAAGCCTCAAATCCAGCATACATTTCAACAAGGGGCAGCAAAAGAAGTGAGAAATGAGCCCCCAAACATAATTTCTAGCATTTAAAAATGATATCCAACATGTATTTCATCAAGGGGCAGCAAGAGGAGTGAGAAATGAACCCCCAAACATAATTTCTAGCATTTAAAAATGATATCCAGCATGTATTTCATCAAGGGGCAGCAAGAGGAGTGAGAAATGAACCCCCAAACATAATTTCTAGCATTTAAAAATGATATCCAACATGTATTCCATCAAGGGGCAGCAAGAGGAGTGAGAAATGA